CACACGGTTCGTGGCCTCATCAGGAGCTCCACCGGATGCCCCAGTGGCACAGGCCGCATGCGCCCGACACCCCCACTTTGACAAACCCTTCATACGGTTCGTTGCCCCATAGGGAGCTCCACCGAAGGCCGCAGTGGTACAGGCCGCATGCGCCCGACGCCCTTATTTTGGCACACCGCTTACACGGTTCGTGGCCCCATATGGGGCTCTACCGAAGGCCCCAGTGGCACAGGCCGCATGCGCTCGACGCCCCCATTTTTGGCTCACCCCTCAGAAGGTTCGTGGCCCCATAGGAGCTCCACCGAAAGCGGTGCCCACAACGCAGTACCTACAATTGCGTATAGTTGGGTTTTCGTTTGGATATTTTGAGCACTTTTTGAAATCTTTTTGGGGCCCTTTTGGGCGCCTCTTGGGTTGCACTGGGCCCTCTTTGGACACTGTTGGGGCCCTCTTGGAGGCCTCTTGGGCCGCCTCGGGGCGATCTTGGGGGCTTTTCGGGCCGTCAGGGAGCGTCGGAGCCGAAAAGGCGAACGATGTTGGCCTCTTGAGGCCCTCTTGGGGTGCCTCATTGAAGCCTTTTTTGGGCGTATTGGAGGCCTCTTGGGCCGTCTGCGGGCTATCTTGAGCGTCTTGGAGCGATCGTTCGGCGACTCGAGGCCCTCTTGGACCGTCCAGGGGGCTTCTTGGGGCCCTATTGGCCCGTCTTGGGGCCCTCTTGGGTCCGAAGCAGTCATGCGACACGACGCGGGGGGAACCGCGGGGGAACCGCGGGCCGCCCCAGAAGACTTGGCCCGAGAGGCCCCGAACCCTTAAAGAAATCTTCAAGAGTGGAAGCTGATGTTTAGAGGGGCAGTGAGAAGACCTGAGGGCACGCCCACTCCGTGCCCAGCGGCACGGTCGCTGATATTTCGAGGAGGAGGAGGAGGAGGAGGAGGAGGAGGAGGAGGAGGAGGAAGAGGGAAAAGGAGAGGGAATACTTTGGCAGATGAGAAGGACGAGGAGGAGGAGGAGGAGGAGGAGGAGGGCGAGCAGAAGGCCAGAGGCCTCTTGGATGCCTCTCGGAGTCTCGTGGGATGTCTCTTGGGGGCTTCCTGCGAGGCCGCTTAGGGGCCTCTTGGGGGCCTCCTGGGGGCCTCTTGAGGCTCTCTTGGGACTCTCTCGGGAGCCCTGGAGGCCCTCTTGAGTCCGTATTGGACGAGGTCGCCCAAAGATGGTGGAAGCTTTAATTCGCGTCGCCCCTCCGGAGCCCCCGAGGTCGCCTCTCGGAGTCCTCTTGAGGCGCTCTTGGTCGCTCTTGGGGCCGTCTTGGGGCCCTCTTGGGCCTCCCTTGGGGCCTGGGGCACGTGCTGAGTGCGTCAGCTGCGCCTGCGCACGGGACAGCACAGCACACCTCGGGAAACGTGTCGGTCCCACGATCCTTGTCAAAAACCAATGCCCCTCATTTTGTCTGGTGGGCCTGCGCACAGCAGGCCATTCGCCGCCACCCCCGCCGTCCCTGTTAACAACCACCTGGCAGTGATCGTGGGCGGGCCGCGCATTGAATGAAAATGTAGCCGGCGCCGAGGCGATAGCGCCAAAGCGCCGGGGGGGCTTCAATAATAATGATTGTTTATTATTTAACATTCAACAGCAATCACAACACCAGCACCAACACCACCACCACCAACAACAACAACATCACCAACAACAACAACAAGCAAACAAGCAACAGCAACAGCAACAATACTCCGCATCGCGGAACCCCACTTCAACCACGCACCCAGGGACAGTGCATGACAGCTCGGCCACTCTGACAACGTGCTCGCTGACCTCACGAACATGATTCTAGTATTTGCCCCAAAGTGTACTTTGTATTGTTTTGGATAGGGGTGGTGGGGTGGTGGGGTGGGGGGGCGCATCGGGTTGGTTGCGCATCCTCCGAATTTGGAGGCAGAGTGTGTTTCGTATTGTTTTTTGGGGGGATCCTCATGGGGTCCTCATTTTGTTCATGGTTGGCTGCTGGTCGCCTGGGGGAAAGGGTGTATACCAATTATCCGTGCGAAGGACTCAAACATACGCAGTTGTGAAAACCGCGCTGTGGGTAGCCCTTTTGGTGGAGCTCCCTATGGGGCCACGAACCGTGTGAGGCGTGTGCCAAAATTGGCGTCGGGCGCATGCGGCCTGTGCTACTGGGGCCTTCGGTGGAACTCCCTAGGGGGCCACGCACGAACCATGTGAGGGGTGTGCCAAAGTGGGCGTCGGGCGCATGCGGCCTGTGCCACTGGGACCTTCGGTGGAGCTCCCTATGGGAGCACGAACCGTGTGAGGGGTGTGCCAAGATGGACGTCGGGCGCATGCGGCCTGTGCCACTGGGGCCTTCGATGGAGCTCCCTAGAGGGTCGCGAACCGTTTGAGGGGTGTGCCACAATGGGCGTCGGGCGCATGCGGCCTGCGCCACTGGGGCCTTCGGTGGAGCTCCCTATGTGGGCCACGAACCGTGTGAGGGGTGTGGGGCCGTCGGTGGAACTCCCTATGGGACCACGAACCGTGTGCGGGGTGTGCCAAAATGGGCGTCGGGCGCATGCGTCCTGTGCCACTGGGGCCTTCGGTGGCTGGGCCACCGGGGCCTTCGGTGGAGCTCCCCATGGGGCTACGATCCTTGTGAGGGATGTGCCGAAATGGTTGACATGCGGAGAGCAGAGGCAAGGGATGGGAGGAGGGAGGGGACAGCGGGAGGTGAGGTGACGCGGGGCGCTGTCTTTTCAAAACGAGGACCCAACACCACAATATGGTTTGTAGTGATAAACCTTTCCCCGAAGGGAGACATGGGAACATGGCAGAGAAAACACCCTGAGCCACCTCCGCCCAGAAGACTGGTTAGATTTCAAGCTTCAGGATCGCAAATGATGAGGAAGTCTCAAGCGACATGCCCGGCCCGCCCTACGGACGCGTCTGGGGTGGTGACATGGAGGAGTTGTTGTTTTGGAAAAGGGATGGAGGAGGAGGAGGCGGAGGAGGAGGGAGGAGAGAGGGAGGGATAGGGGGGAATAACAAAAACAAACACAAAAACAATAGGAAAAAATAACGAAGTGGAGAAAGGGGGGGGAGGAAGTGGTGAATGAGGAGGGAGGACGGAAGTACGTAAATGGGGGAGGATGAGGGACATAGATTCGAGTTTTTTTTTTTTTTTTTTTTTTTTTCTAAGTTCCTGGTTATTTTCAAAGAACTTCGACGCTCTTCGGGTGTGTTTGAATGTTCGCAGCTCCCCCAACATGCAGTTTCTCGTCCAGAATCACCCTGCCAACATGCAGCTCCTCGCCCAGAATCGCCGAGACACTCCCTCTGTCCACAACACGCCCGACACCTCCATCTCCCTGAAACCTTCCCCAACATGCAATTTCTCGCCCCGAATCCCCAGGGCCCCGTACCCACTCCTCGCCCGACACCCCCGTCGTTCTGGGACACCCGTTCTTGGGACCCACCGCCGTGCCATTTCTCGCCCTCCTGTCCCTCCTCATTGTGCATCCTCCTCCTCCTCCTGTTGATCCTCCTCCACCCTCCTTGTTTTCGGGGTCCCTGAAGACGGGACGGGGTGGGCACGAGCGGGCATCATAGCCGGCTCAAAATCAAAAGAGGCATCATAGCCTCATCAATCAAGATTGATCCACTCACGGATCCACTGCGATTGATTTTCATTGAATTCATCCCATGCGTAGCATGCTCTCCCCACTCTTTGGACGTCTGCGGAGGCCAGGCTGCAGGAGGGACGCCCGAGCGCGAGCGCCGCCCGGCGCCCGAGCTTCGAAGCTTTTGCGGCCCTGCGAGGGTCGGGGCCAACGTTCTGCGTTGGAGGGTACTCCAGATTTCGTAATAGAAGGGAGGGGGTCTGGACCCTCCAAGACAAGCCATTTCAGACCCCCCCCCGTGGGAGAACCCTCCAAAACACCGTCCCCAGACCCCCCCAGGCCCTCCAAGATAGCCCGGAAGAGACCCCCCCCGAAATGAGACCCCCCCTCCCTTTATCACGAAATCTGGAGTAGGCTCAGGGGGAGAATGCCTCGGCCCTGGCTCGGGGTGCTTTCTCCAGCGGCCGCGCCGCGCCGAGGGCGTTCTGGGCAGTGCCCGGAGATCCTCCCGGGCGGCCGTCGGAGAGCGGAGGTGTGGCCCGAGAGCAGGGGGCAGCGCGAAGGGGGGGGAGGTAGGCTCAGGGGGAGAATGCCTCGACCCTGCCTCGGGGTGCTTTCTCCAGCGGCCGCGCCGCGCCGAGGGCGTTCTGGGCAGTGCCCGGGGATCCTCCCGGGCGGCCGTCGGAGAGCGGAGGTGTGACCCGAGAGCAGGGGGCAGCGCGAAGGGGGGGGGGGTATAAAACGACGCGAAGATCGGGACAAAATCGGATCGGGATAACTCGAAATCTCTGAGAATCGGCGGGTTTGGAGGATGTATTGGGCGCCGCGGCCGCTCCAGAGCGTTCCGGAACGCTCTGAGAGCGCTCCGGAACGCCGGGCAGCGCGAAGGTGTGGGGGGGGGGTAGGCTCAGGGGGGTACTCCAGATTTCGTAATAAAAGGGAGGGGGTCTCATTTCGGGGGGGATCTCTTCCAGGCTATCTTGGAGGGCCTGGGGGGGTCTGGGGACGGTGTTCTGGAGGGTTCCACGGGGGAGGTCTGAAATGGCTGACCCCCTCCCTTCTATTACGAAATCTGGAGTATGCATCGACCCCCAAACTTTCCTGACGTTACCCCTCACACTGGTCGTCGCACTTTGATGTTCTGTCTCGCCGCAGGGCCACCGTCGATCCACCCTGGAGGCAGGCAGACATGCGTCCTCGCTCCGCAGCCCGGCGGCTCGCCGAGGGGGGAAGTGAGAGGGGGCAGGCATTTTCAGGAGGCGAGGGGGCTTCTCAGAAGCCCCCAGGCCTTCTGAGCCTTACGAGAATGCCCGCCCTCTCTGCCTTCCCCCCTGGGCGCGCCGCCGAATCTTGGCGATAGGCAAACACACATTCTCGCGTCGCAGTGGTTGGATTATGCTGGACACGGCCAGGCAGCATGTTGGGAGGAGCTCGGGAGCACGTTTTGAGGCATTCAGCCGGCGGCGAACGACACGCCTGGTGGACGGTCCAGTTTCGGCCGCCCCCCGGCAGGAGATCAATTCGGGGGCCAAGTCGATCATCAAGGTGTTGGGCAATGGCAAGACGGTGGTGCTCGAGGATCCTCAGACCACGGCCGCCGACGATTATCTCAGGATCAACAAGTCCAAGGAGCGGTCCTACGCCTTCGACGCTGCCTTCCACGAGGCGACAGGGACCAGGCAGGTGTACGAGATGACCACGCGCTCGCTGATCGGCGGCGTGCTTGAGGGGTTCAACGCAACCGTGTTCGCGTACGGCGCCACGGGGGCGGGGAAGACCCACACGATGCTCGGGAACCCGAGCTCGCCTGGCATCATGATGCTCACCTTGCTGGACTCGGGGAGAACACAAAGGCCGATGCTGACGGCCTCCTGGGGGGGGCCCTGTCGTCACAGGTGCGTTCGCCTAGAGATCCTGCAGAACGCATCGGAGGAGTGGACTCTGGAGCACAACCGACACAAGCAGTTGGGTGCGGCAGTTCGGCCAACCCTTTCTGAAGCCTCTCAAAAACCTTTCTCGGGAAGATTGTTGGATGGCTTCCTGCAGCAACCTTTTAAAAACCTTCCGCAACAGTCTTCTTCGCGAGGGTTTTTGGCGAGTTTCCTCCAACAACCTTCCAAACAAATCGCCCTCAAGCAGAGTTGTGTTGGAGGTATTCCCCTAAAGAACCTTCCGACAACCTTCCTCTCAAGCAGTGGCGAAGCGTCCTGGCTCGCCTAAAGCCCCACCAGAAAATGTTCTAAGAACTTTCTGTGGTCTCCACGAGATGTTCTTAGAACATTTCTGGCGGAGTCTGTCTTGTATTATCACATCGGGTCTATGTTCTAAGAACATTGTTTGTGTTCTTAGAACATTTCTGGGTTCTAAGAACATTTCGTGGCAGGACTATAGGAATACCGGGACGGTCTTCCCTGCTCAATCCTCAGGACTGTTTTTGGAGGGTGTCCTACAACACCTTTATCGGACAGTTTGTTGGAGTCCTCCAAACCTTCGATTCGTCAGGAGGTCTTGTGTGTTATATGTATTTTCGCGCACATGATATATTTATTCACGTATATATTAATATTTATATATATATATGCATATACATGTATATATATATATATATATATATATATATATATACACACGCAGAGTGCCCCACAGGAACCTTCCAGAACACCTTCCACTGGAGGTTATGTTGAGGTCTCGCTTCGAAAACCTTCCAACAACCTTTCCTTTAGGAGGTTTTTAATGGCTTCCTCCAGAAGCCAGCCAAAAACCTTCCTCGCAGGCGGCGTTATCCCGCTCCTTCGCTTTCGTCCTCTCGGCCCTCTTTATTTTCCGTTTCTGTGCTCCAGATGAGGAGGGGGGAGATCCCTCTGGCAAGGGGGGGCGGGGGCAAGTCGGGTCGCCATTGGAGCCCTCGATTTTCGAGGCGCGCCACATCCTGATGAGAAGGGCAGTTTCATCCGCCCCTTCTCGCGCGGGTAACTGCGGGGGACGGAGCGTGAACATGATGCCCGCGAGGGCGAAGACGAGTGGGCGGGGGGAGGAGGCGGAGAAGGATGAAAGGAGGAGGAGGAGGAGGAGGAGGAGGAGGAGGAGGAGGAGGAGGAGGAGGAGGAGAGGAGGAGGAGGAGGAGGAGGAGGAGGAGGAGGGAGGAGGAGGAGGGAGAGAGGAGGAGGAGAGGAGGAAGAGGAGGAGGAGGAGGAGGAGGAAGAGAAAAGGAAAAGGAGGAGGAGGAAGAGAAATGGAAAAGGAGGAGGAGGAGGATCAGGATATCAGTAGCATAACAGATTACCAATCGCCTCCTGCCCTCCCTGTCGGGCTGGCATCAAGGGCGACGCCGCCGCCCTCTCGCGCGGCCGAGCTGCCCCCCGGGGCCCGCTGAATTCGACGTCGCGACGGCGCAGGCACGCCCTGCGACGACGATGCCGGCGAGGACGCCGCCGACGCCGACGCCGCCGCCGCCGACGACGACGACGACGATGACGACGAGGACATGATCCCGCGAAGCGTCGACGTCTTCGGGAGGGGGTCCTGGCAGCGTCAGCGCCGACGGGATAGGGTCAGGAGATGCCCTGGCGCTTTCAGGATGGGGCCCTGGCAGTGCCGATCCTGCTGTGGGGGTAATGAGGGGCCGCGGGCCCTCCGGGATGGGGGCCACGATGGGCCAGGAGGCCTCGCGAGGGGGCCCTGGCGGCGCTGGCCCTGGCGGGATGGGGCCCAATCGACCCCGCGGCCCTCGAGGGGGTCCCCGATTGGAGGGTGAAAAAAGGAGTCTGTAACAGGGGGTCTTCAATGGGGGCTGAATGGCCCATGTATGCTCAATGCATCGCTCATGTATGTGGTCGGGTATGATTGGTATCCAATGTTGGCGGTCATGGAGGGCCAGTCGTTCGTGCCCGCGCGTTGCCCGCGGGGCCAAACGCGCCGTCCATCCATTATCGTTCATGCGTGCGGGCGTTCTTGCATATCGCGCGTGGGGCGGCGAAGTGGAGTGCAAGTGTGTCTTGATTGTCCGATTGATGATCGCGTATGTTCCTAAACGATGACTTGTCGACCCCCAAGACAGATTTGGAATGGGTCCCGCGATTCTCCCAAAGTGTAAATTCAAATGTTCATGTTTCCAAAATGTGAATTCACATTTTTTTTTTCTCCAAACTGTGAATCCACATTTTGGCCCCTTCCATACAGATTCGTATACAAAATGTCAAAATGCGAATTCACATGTTCCTTTCTCCACAATGTGAATTCACATGTTCCTTTATCCCAACATGTGAACGCACCTTTTTCTTTTCCCCACAATGTGAATCCACATTTTGCCCTGGCCCTCAAGATCCCCAAAACTGAGGCGCAGTGTTCCGCATGTCAGTTTGGTTGGGCAGATTTTGACACTCACCTCGCCGCTTTCGTTTATTCCAGCCTTTTTCTTGCGCCCTCAGCGCGCGTTGCCTTCGTCGCCTTTCCCGGGCCCCCCGCCTCCTTGATCGTTTACACTCAGGTCTCGCGCGTGGGCGCAGGCGGGGAGGGGAGCTTCACTTGGTTCCCCCGCCGAACACGGCGGTCGAGGATGCGTCGCCCATGCATGGCCCATAGAGACATTGCCGGGACCGCGCGCCCGACCCCAACTTCCACCCTCCAACCCGAGGGGCCACCGTGCCTTCGGGAAGAGGCCCCGTCGGCGCCGGCCCTGACGAGCCCAGAAACTTCGGGGGGTGGTCTGAGGAGGGGGGCCGAGGATCACTGAGCCCGGGCGGCGACGGCCCCGACGGGGGGGGATCCCGAGGCGCCCCAGCGCCTTCGCGAGGAGGTTTTGGCGGCGCCGGCCTTGGCGGGAGGTGGCCCTGACCAGCCCGAGGGCCCTCGGTCGCGGCGGGGCCCCGGCGGGGGCCGAGGCTTCGGGCGGAGCGTTGGCGGCTCCGGCTCCGACGGGAGAGCGCCCCGAGGGCGCCCCGCGGGGAAGGGGCCCCGGTGGCGCTAGCCCTGACGGGGCGGGCCCCGAAAGGCCCGCGCCCCCTTCGCCTCGGCCCCCGCCCGCGCGGCCCCCAGGTCGACGGTGGCCTCGGCGGCCCCGACGTCACTGGAGCGCCAGCGCAGCCGCGGCCGCCCCCAGTGCCGCAGCCGCATGTCAGGGTGACGTCGCCCAGCGCTGCGATGCGATGGGCTGAGCGTGTTCGCATCGCATGGAGCTTCGCTGCTGAGTGCAACCGACGACATCATCGCGACAGGTGTGGCGACTCGTTCTTTTTTCAACGCGCCCTATTCTACATTTTGGTGGCGCGCGCTTCTTCTCGAGGAAAACTGTTCTCTCAATGCGCGGGCGCTGGGCGTGGTGGCGCCTGGGCGCCGTGGAGAGCTTCGCGCGACACCTCGTGGGCCGATGCGTACATATGAAGATGCGCTGGGCGCGATTGGCAGTGATGCCGTTCGACGGGAAGGTCCGAGGTCCGAGGTGCACCGCGTGGCGGACATAGATCTCGATCGACTGACCTGCGCTCCCGCGTTCGCGGCGACCGCTGCGCTGCGCGTCGCGCGCGAGACTCGCTGCGCCACGCGCCGCGCGAAGATGCGCGCGGCGGGCGCGCCGCGCTCGCATTGGTCGCCGCAGCGACGCGCCCGATCTCGCGATCGCCTACGCGTGGATCGGCCAGGGGCGCCCGCGCAATTCGCGAACCGCCCGGTCCGCCGCCCGACCCCCCCCGCGCGAGGGAAACGAGGAGGGCGAGGGGGGGGCGGAGGAGGAGGAGGGCGAGGACGAGGTGGTCGCTCTGGCGAAGCTGGTGCCGCCGCGGCCCTGCCCCTCCTCCTCTTCGTAGCCCCCCCCATCCTCCCCGCCCCCCTCCGGCGCCTCCCCGTTGATCCCACCGATCTTCCGCCGCCCCCCTCCGCGCGCTGCCCCCCTCGCGGGGGCGGCGGGCCCGGGGGGCTGGCGTTCTCCGGGGGAGCGCGAAGGAGTTCCGCGTAATTGTACTTCGCGGCTGTCGCGACGGCGCCTCGCGCCGCGCCCCCGCCGCTGCCCGGCCGCGCGTCTCGTCGCTCGTCCAGTTGTGCTCGCGCGCGCGCGCCTCCTGATGCCCCCTCGTGCGCTGCTATATTCGCGCGCCCGAATCGGTTCATTCCGCCTTCGGCCCCCTCTGGTGCGCGACCAGTCTGGCGCGTGACTTTGCATGTCGCGCGTTCTATTTGACGCGCGGCCGCCTGGCATGCGACCTCGCTGGCGTGTTGCGTCTCCGGCGTGCGACGTGCCTCTCAGGAGGCCTCTCTGGCGCGCGGCCTCCTCGGTGCTGTCTGGGTAGGCGACCTCTCCTGGCGCGCGGCCTCTGGCACGCGGCCCCGCGCGCCCAGATTTCCGCTTCGCCCGGCCCGCCGCCGTCGGCCCGCGCGCCGCGGGCAACGCCCGCGGAGGGGGGGCGCGACGCCCGGGCGCGGCATGGGCGAGCCGCGCAGGAGCTGGAGCGTGAACGATTTGGCGCGCAGGGGCTCCGACGAGGCCCCCCCCCCTCGAACTTCTGGGGGGCGCGCGGCGCACCTCGTCGCCTTCCCGCTGTCCAGCCGCGGGTGGGCAGCGGGCCCAGTCGCCCCGCTATGGGCCGGCCAATCCGTGGGCCTCGAGACTTTGCGTCTCCCGCCCGTGCCCGGGGCCGCTGGCCCACCTGGGCCTTGCTGAGCTGCTTCGCCGCGGGCAGATATATCGCGGCCTTTACTCGCTGAGCGTCAGCGACGCGCGTGCCCCCTCGCCCGCGCGAGCACTTCGCGCGCGCGGCGCAAGGTGACGCCCAGGGCGGGGCAAGAGCCGGCGGGGCGCGGCCGGGCGCCGCGGCGACGAGGGGGCGCCGAGAGGCGCGGG